AACCCACACCTGAAAAAGACATAGAAAAACGGCTGATTTTAGGAAAATAGTTTGTTGTTTTTTTGATTGGGATGTAGAACCTAAGCTTTTATTGAGCTATAGTTTAATAACATTGTTTTATTGAAAATCAGAAATTCAGCACATTCAGAAATAACAAAATATACCTTTGTCTTTACAGGTCAGAATAGTCTGATCTTTAATCATTATGGTTAGACTGGAAGAAAAAATTATTCTATATTGATGATTTTCTTTTACTAGGCATCAAGTACTTTCTTTAAGGTTGTAATATCATATTATCAAGAATACATGGCTAACGTCATGTTCCTTACATTGGACATAAAAATTGTAAAATTGGATTAAACACACTAATGAACCAGCAACCGCTGTTTTGACAGTCAAAACACATGCACTCTTGCTTTTATCAAACTTATCAGAATAACAATACACAACTACCCCATTTTGACTATATTTGGGACATTTTGCAGCAGGAAGATGGTTTGGCACAAGGATGTAGACTGTGAAAGCTGGACATTGGGCTCCCTGGGGTGGGGAGAAAAGAGGGAAAAAAGAAGACTAGAAAGAAAGAGAGTCAAACTAGGCAACAAACCATAAGGCAGGGGTGTCAAACTGGTTCCAGAAAGGGCTGTGTGGTTGTGAGACTCCAGTCATCACATGAAGTGAGTCCAGTCTTAACATGATGACTTGATGAGATGGGTGGAGTCTGGTGTGCTATTGCTTGGTTGGAAAGAAAACCTGCAGCCACACGGCCCTTTCTGGGACCAGTTTGACACCCCTGCCATAAGGGGTCCAATTCCTCTCCATGGCACTGGTTGTCAAAGACTGCCCAATCATAAGTATAAAAAGTCCTAGTGGAAGGTGCCCATGCACCAGCCTTTGTGCAGTGCACCTTGCATCTATATAGGGAGAAAGTATAGCTGGGACTTGTAAGGGCCAAACCCACAGTGTCCTGGGTTGGATATGAGAGGAGATACCTGCTGGAGGGGAAGTGCATTGGCAAGCCAGAGAAAGGCCTGTGCAACAGAGGAATTAAAGTCTTTACTGGCCAAAATGGGGCCACTGATACGAGCTTGTGCACCTCCAGGAAAACCATTAATTTGGAAAAGTTAGGGCTAAGGGTGGAGAAAAGTGTCTATTACTAATCTTGCACCATTTGCAGCCCAAAGGATGGACGCAAAGTGGTTTTCCCCCACCATGCAACTCATCACATCAAGATAAAGCATTTAGTCCCCAGAAGGGTGGCTTCAGGTAAGGCAGAAGTTTGCAGGCATGTTCTACATCACTAGTATGTAGGCCCTGAGGCTGAGACATTGGGTCAAGGTTAACATCTTTGACCATATACCTCTTTTGTGATTAACATTAATAGTGACCTCACTGGTTGCAAGCCTTTCAGCAATATTCAAAGGGGCAGCAACAAGAGCAGTCTTAAGGGCACCACATTGGACGCAGTGGCAACCATGCCCCAAATGTATAGTTACAGAATGAGGAGGAGCTTCAAGTGCATGCTTAAAATTCTGGCCAGTAAGGGGTGAGATCCATGCTGCAGTGTCAATACTTTAAGAGGATAGTGGATGACTGTCATCCTGACCCTTTTAGAGACAGAGGGCTGGTATCAGGTCTATAGATGGTACCTATGAGACAATGTGGAAAGCACCCATACATCTGGGATGTGGGTAACACCCAATCTAATCCATCATCTGCCTCTCAAAGACCTGAGGGGACATAAAAAAAAATTGTGTAGACCAGGGGTCTCAAACTGGTTCCAGAAAGGGCCATGTGGCTGCAGGGTTTTTTTCAACCAAGTAGTCGCACACCAGACTCCAGTCATCTCATCAACTGAGTGCAATCTGAACATAATGACTTGATGAGATAACTGGAGCCTGGTGTGCTATTGCTTGGTTGGAAAGGAAACCTGCAGCCACAAGGCCCTTTTTGGAATCAGTTTGAGACCGCTGGTGTAGACCAAATGGGAAAGGAGACGCAGGCCCTCAGTTGGTCAACTGTGTTCATACCCTATCATAGAAACGGCCCTGAAGCCAGATTCCAAGACATAGGGAGAGAAGCAGATGGAAGGGAGTAAATCAGTGGAAAATCATAGCTAAACCGGCTATAAAGTCTGGCTAATTGTTATTGCTTTAGGAAGCCTGAGCCATACTGTCCAGGTCATTGAGCATAGCAAAGGCAGAGTTCACCAGGAACTGGGGTTTACTCAGGGGAAACTTAAGCAGTCAAACTTGAAGACAGCCAGACAAAAGGTCTGCTCAGTGGGGCAGACTCCAAAGAGGAGGAAAGGCCCAGCATCGTATGCAAGAGTGAGTTCCCAATCCAGCAGACCATGGCACCTGAGTTTTAAGGCCGGCAGAGCAGGTCATCTGTTCCACAGCATTTTGTGACAACTGGTATTAGTCCACAGAACAGGAGGAACAATGAGATAGGCATGTCAGGCTCCACGGCAGGCATTTTTTTTCCAAACTAAACCAAGAAGCCTCTTGTATAACAGCAAGGGTACCACAATCAATTCTCAGTTGAGAAAATGCCAAGGCATCTGTCCAACAGATGTGCAGTTTACATATGTACTTCTCTGATGGAGGAACCACAAAGGCAGCATCAGAGCTACAAGCAAGTCTACTAAATAATCAAGTGAGACAACATAGACATAGGGTGAGAAAACTTGCCAGCCAATACAAGCCAAACATGTAGAGGATTCAACACAAGCAAAAACACCAGAGATTAGTCAATCAATCAAATGAGGCAACATAAAGGCATGAAAACACTGTTGGACATTATGAACTTGTATAGGACTCGGCAAAGGCAGAAAATGTCACCTGCAAGACAATGACACAATTAAACATGAAAAAAAAACCTACCAGTTGCTGCAGAACAACAGTAGTCTGAAAAAAGGCAGCTTGTACAGCCCTTGGAGGGCAAGACACAGCTTTAGCTTTGACCAAAGAACATTCTCTAGGGTACAAGCAGCAAGCAGTAGTATAGCAAGAGCATGTACTCAGCAAATCTGTGCACAAGAAGATAAAAAGCGACTGAGCTTTCAGTGTCATGTGATAGTATAGGCATGCTAATTTTCTGTAGGTTAACTGTGACTTTGTTGCTATTACTGTACTTATCAACCTTTGCATCCACAAGGATGATCAGTTAATGCATGAGTAATGCCCCTGGAAGTCAGTAGGGATGAAATAGCATTGAAAATATAATTGAATGCTACTGTGTTAATTGTGACGGCTGAAATTTTATTTCATAAAAATTGTATTTCTTTTGATTAGATATTTTTTCGAATGTGTTTTAGTTACTTTTATATTGTACATTAAATTTTGTAAAAAGCACTTTTGTAGTGTCTTGAGTCTGAATGTTGGTTTGTAAATGCATTGGCTTGTAAGGAACTGTTTTCAAATATAACCAAATTTAACTGGAGCTGTTAACTTTTCTTTATATTGCATTGAGACCGCTTTTTTGGCATAAAAAAAAATTATCAAAATTAAATTATAAGTACAATCAATTGTAAATCCTTGAATTTTGTGTTTCTTTGTATTCCAATTACTAGGTGGAATAGAAAAAAATATAAAAAAAAAAACAAGAGCCATCCCTTAGTTTTTATTTATTGCCTTGAAAATGTTATATTGCAGCTGTGTTAGAATAAAATGTGCTGCAACACTAGGTCATCTTTTGTGCTCCCGTCTTTTGTGTACTCGAATGATTCATAGGTCAGCTTTAAGTGGCTTAACAAACAAAATCTAAAATAAAAAAAAAAGACATTTACAGGCTGCAGCCAGAACTGGGGCAAAAATACAGCTTCAGCTCTTGGTGTTTGGGCTTTGTACTGTGGGGGGATGTTAGACTATTAAAAGTTATAATTCACCATGCGGTCCAAAGGAAATATATATACTGTATGTGTAATTTAAGAAAAAAAGAAAGAGGAAAGGTGGCTGCAACACATTTACACATACTTTTATCTATTTCAATAATTAATTTTGTAACTTTGGTATATTTAATCACCATTTTTTTTTTTTTTTTTGCTTTTGAGATATATGTATAGTCTTGTTGTTCATCTAAATTTGATTTTAAACAAAGTATGACCTCTATATTTCTTTTTTTAATTGTGTAATTTATGTAACTTTTTGCAGGTTGTAAAGTTATTAAAATCTAAAGTCAAGCATAAAAAATCACCTACGGTTTTATTTAAATTACTGTAGAACTTTTTTTTTTTTTATAGGCTTTCAAAAGACCTTGATACCATGTATTTTAAGATTTAAGTTAGTATAATTATTTAAATTAAAAAAAATAACATTTTCTTTTTTGTCCATATTTTAATATTATGGTCATGATAAAATAATTTTATTTTCTGTTACATTAAGTCTTGCACATAAACAACATGCTGCCTATTATGAATGACTGAGCCATGCTCTATGAGAGCATATCTGCTCTTTTTCCATGCTCTCTTGTGATTTGCTGGAGTTTGTTTTCTCTGCTACATGGACAAGAAACTACATTCAAACCCATTAGGTGACTTTGACAATGTTGCAAGTAGAACAAATAACCCAGCACAGCACTGCTGCATTCACTGTGTCTAATCAAACCGGTATGAGGCATTGCTTTCATTTCATTTATCTGTAAAAATGCACATTGATAAATGTATTATTTTCCAAAGAAAAAAAAAAAAAACTTACAGAATAAACTCACAGAATACCTAGACCAGAAAAATTTACCCCAATTGTCTAATTTCTCATTTTTCCTGTCAGCCTAAAAATAATTCTTGTTTATTCTCTCTATAAAAAAAGCATGTACACAAACCACAACCCTATGGAAAAAGTATTTAGATACAAATGAGAATATTGATAATAGATGATAGATAATAATTGAAACAAGTGAAACTTTCTGACCTCCCAAGGTGGCTGAGATGAGAATGTGGGTTCCATATTTCTTTATGATAGTGTCAATAAACTGCTGAGTGGTGGGTCTTCGGCCCAGCAAGCGTACACTGCGCTGGAACTCAGGCATGAGTGGCACGGGGTTCCGGATGAGGTCCCTTCTCTCAATTGCAGTGTTTCTCACCTTCCAACGTGCAAATTCCCTGTTAGGATAAAAAAAAACAACAACAAACAAATAAAAAACTACGGCTTACATTCTTTCTTATGCTTACAGACAAAAACATAGATTTCAGTGTATTTTAAATGAGAAAAGAAAAGAAAACATTCCTAATTTTTATGATTTATTCATTTAAGCTGATAGAAGTTTTACAAGATAAGCTCAGTCTCTCACATTTCCATCAAAATGCTTTGCATTATGGTGTTTATTGAGTGTCATATCACTATGTAAAATTGCTGATGCCTTTGTTGTAATAAGGGCATCATTCGACTGTATAACCATAATAGGATGTGTTTTCATGAAAAAAAAAAATCTCATTACTGTCCTCTATCATTTGTGCCCATTCTATCACAACTATAAAATGGCCTATTAGCATTTTAGCACAGAATCAAATAACCGAAAGGGCAAAAGTGCTCCCTTACCTGCTGTTTCTTTGCATACTGCATAGAAATAATGTATAAGATTTTATATAAGAAGCATTCAAATAGTGTTTTAAGATTCCCTTTATGTGGTTCATATTATGTACTGTAATAATCAAGATGTGTACAGTAGGTGACACTTTTTGTAAACTAGACATTACAGGCACATTCCAGTGTGAGAGTTAAGAGAGAGCAAATTATATAATATAAAGACAAAAAAAAGATACTAAAAAACATTTCGTTGTGACAGAAGCTGATGCCAATAGGATACAGAGAATTACAAATGTGTCTACTATTTTAAAAATTTCACACCCTTCAACTCTTCATTGGGATTTTAGATCTTAAAATAAGAAATGAGTTTATTAATGTGAGTGTTAAAAAAAGAGGTTAGTGCATGCAACTCTGATTTAGAAAACAATGAAGGGTTCTAAAGAAACACAAATAAATAAAACTAAATAAAAAGCAATATATATATAGAATTAAAAAAAATGTATTTAAAAAATATTCATGAATTATAAGTGTTAATAATTAACATGTTATATATGGGGGGAAATGGATGCTTTATGCAAAAGTCATTTTATAAAAATCCAAAATAACACAGGAATTCATTTCTCAGGATGCAAAACTGTCATTTCTTCCAAACAGCCATATCTGACACAAACATATATGATATATAAAACAGTTTTTTCTTGTGAAAATTGCATGAGTTGTCTAAAGAACAGTCACAGTCCTGTAAAAAAATCTAATGTTTATTAATTAAGACAACATTTTATTGTTTACTTCTTACACCTACAAAAGCGAGGGTCTTCTTTTCAACTATTTTGGATCTTTTACCATAAAAATAAGACAACTGCTGCACGACAATGAGATCCTAAAAGATTACTACATTTGCCACTATATTGACACGACAGCAGTGACTGAGACTTAGTTAAGTTATTTAAAGGCATTGGAAAATATAATTCCTTAACAACTCATGGGTTAAAATGCTTGCCCTAAGAAGAGGCTGTGTATCAGATTAAGCAATGCTTTTGTTGTGTGAATGATGAGTCTAATTACTGTAAGTGCCTGACCTTAAAGTGCATTAAAATCTTCATTAGGGAGAATACATCCAAAGGACTATATGATCTCTATAACTTAATCCAAAAAGCCTTTTTTAATTAAAATCTGAGCTGTGTTTAATAAACAAATAAATAGACAAACATTCTCTGCAAAAAAAAAAACAAACATAAATTAATAAATAAAAATAAATAAATGAATAAGATAAAAAGGCATAGGACTGCAGAGAAAGATGCTGGATTTGTTCTAAATTGCTTTTTTTTAAGAAGATTTTGAAACTCCTTAAACTGGGTTAATCCAAACAAAAGATTTGTTTTTAATCATTCTAGGAAAGATGAAAAGGATGCTTTTTTTCATGTCCTTATCCTTAAAAAAAAAAAGACAAAAAAAAAATGCTTTGAGGACCAAACAAAGTGATGCAAAAAGAATCAAATGGTGAAAAAATAAGACGTGCAAACAATCTTAAATGCATTTGTTGCGTTTATCTATTTCAGTGTTTTGACCTTCTAGTGTTTCTTTGTTAAAATTTCCCTAATCTGAATTTAGTTATGTGTGAATTTTTTTTTATTTTTATAAATAGTTTTACTATTTCAGATACACCAGTTTTTAATTTTCTATTTCAGTTAATCATATCACTACTTTCTCTTGTTGAGAAAGGGTTTCTGAACAGACTACAATGAAACTTTAAGATGAGGGGCAAGCCTAACCTCTTAGTTTGTAATTGTCTATGTGACAGCTGTCTTCTTTTAACTCTAAATACAGATAATTTTAGCAGTGTTATCACTAATTGGACATAATCAAGGTGCTTATCCTTGCCTATTGTAATATATCCATCAACTAATGAAACAATATCCACTTTTTCTTGCATGAACATAAGAAATGAAAATCATAAACAGGGTGCAGCACACACACTAACAGATCTGACTTATTGATCAGGGGCAAAAAAATACTGATTGAAGCAGTACTTTTTTGTTAAATTATTATTATATTTATTAAAATAACACCATAACAGTAATTTTAAAGGAAAAAAATATGAACAATTCAATTTCTTGCAACCTCTTTATTTTAAGCTGCACTTACACATTTTGTATGTGCCCTCAGACTGATTGTCCTCTTAGTTTGTATTTTTCTGACACATAGTCAGCAATATGTCTGCCTATCTGAGCTTGTCTTGACTGCAGCATTTTATTACTCTGTTAAGCACTCTCGTCTAGTTTTAAAAGTACCATTTCTTTCTGCCAGTGGACTAGTAAAGAGAGGGCTTTACAATCCTGCCCACAATTAACTGAAATAACCGGACAACCTCCTTAAAGGACAGGTCATACGTTTATATCTAGTGCTAAGAGTAGAAAAATTCAAAATAAAATTACTCCGAGTATCATGTAAGATGTAATGATGTGGTCTGGAGAAAACCAAACTACTTAGTAAAACCCTGACAATATGTCAAGTGGAATGGATAAAGAGTAAAAATAACTAATATAATTAGTTGATCTTACATTTTTATTGTGCACAATGAAGCAAGATTTACATGACAGTCAGATTTTTCAGGACCAAGAAGGTGTCTGAATTTGAGCAATGCTAGATCATCCAGTTATAACAAGCTCAGGGCATAACCAGATCAAGACCTGGTGTTTTTTAGAGTAAAAATTTTGTTATAAATAAAGTTACGGAATATATTTCATGACCTAAATTGCAGACATGGAAGTTATTAAAATGCTAAACCTTTTGCATCATTCCCTGCTTGTTTTACAGTATTTGTAGGTTATTGCCCAATTCCCGACACCAGTTTTTTTTTTTTTTTTCTTAATGACAAATTAAACATAGATCAGAAAAAAAAGCTTTCACAAGGTCAACAAAGGAACTATGATAGGGAGCGCAACCTCTCAGTCAGCCAGCTTTTTGGTAATGGTTGTGCAGTTTTTGGAACAATTACCTAAAGTATGGAGTCTGTCACAGATCAGCCTGTATTCTGAATAGACCTCCAAGCACCTCCGTTGAACTACTGTATGCCCTAGCAACCTAACTTTCTTGGTCTTCTTCTGACACAGTTCTCCTTTTCAACAGCTCTTAGTTAGACCTTTTTTTTTTTTTTTTTTGGTACTGGTCCTGCTGGTGCGATTCATGTTTGAGAGAATCTAGTTGCCAGACCAAACTCAGTAAATACTCACCTAGGATCAGTGCCAGCCCAGCACCTCACAAGGTAAAATAAATACGACCGTCCCAGACTTAGAGGTGATAGAAGTGTAAATTATTCTTTCTGTAAAGCAGTTGGGAATCAATGGCTCAAAAAAGTTGCTGGGAAAACCATGCTGCAGATTATTATAAGACCAGGTTGAAAGATCTGTGCAAATATTCTGCTCAAAAAGAGTATTTTTGTAGGGCAACTCTCATTTTTAATCCTAGCAGAGAGATGACCCCACTTCTGGTCCTGTTACATGAATGATTTTTGTACAAAGTTCAGGCAGAAGTTATTTGTGAAAACTGGAGCAAGTGTTTAATTTGAGAGACCTTTGAGATACTTAGATTCACAACAGAGGTTGCATTCATCTTTTTTTCATTCTGCTCACAGCGCCTTCTCTAGTTTTACTCTCCCTTTCATAGATCTCATTTTATTGTCACACAAAAGGTTTCATGGTTCAGTCACTCCAATTGTTGAATAAAACGATATATGGTGAACCATAGACTTGAGCCCTTCTGGCATGAATTGATCATGCCAGTAGATGGAACATGTGACATGATTCAGTGCTTTTCTCAAGGTCCACTTTAATGACCCATCGTGTAAGTTAGAAGTAGATAAGTGGCCTTAAGCTGCATAGATAGGAGCTTGGAACAAATGGGATTTTGTCTTTATATTTAAGTAACTGGAGGGGGAGGCCCATTATACTTGTCTGCATTTAAATATTTTCAAACTACTAATTAGATCCATGATATGATGAGCCAAACATAAAAACCTTGAAAATATCAGATTTTATTTGAATTTTCCAATGGACCACACTATGAGCTGAATTTAATTAGAAGACTTGTCCAATCCACCTGTATGATTTGTTTGAACTGTCTGAAAAAAAAGTCAATTTATGTATCAAGTATGGTAAATTTCACTTAGGTTTTACACTGTATGATCATAAATTTGGGCTTGATTTGGAACCCACAATACCAACTTAAATTAATTTAGCTTTCAGAGTGTTTTTGCTAATGTACCTAAACAGAAAAGTATTTTTTTGGGCAAAGCACAAACCCAAAGTTTAAAATGTGATATTTGAGAACAATGAAATAAGGAACAAGCAAGGTTTTAAGCCAACTTAATATTGAAATCTGCATGCAGCAACATTGTCATAAAGAACCTTTGTCAAGTACCAGAATCTTATTGTAATTGTACATAACAGAGGAGAGGCTGGGAATGAGATTTCTCTGTTGAGCCTTCTCCTTTACGTAGGAGTCCCAAGAACAGGACAAGTCAGAGGAGATTTGAAGGTAAAAAAAAAAACTAGATGTCCACAAGCTTCACTGTCAT